CACATCGGGCTCCGTGCTCATCAGGGAGCCTGCTTCTTCCTCTGCCTGTGCCTGCCATTCTGTCTGCCTGTGCTTGCTCTCTCTCCCTCTCTCTCTCTGACAAATAAATAAATAAAATCTTTAAAAAAAAAAAATAGTTTTATGTTTATATCATTTAATTCTTAATAAAGGCTGTGTTTAGCGACTGGCTTGCAAAGTTCCTAAAAATAAAAAATCAGCTCTTTTGAACCTGTATGAGTCAGGTCCAGCACACTGCCACATAATACATTTTCCAGACGCCCTTTTGGTTCAGAAGGGTTGCGACGCCCAGCTGAAAATCAGGGTGTCACACAAGGCACAAATCAGTTGAAGGGAAGAGATGACTTCTGTTCCTGCCTGCCGGACCTAATGTATGTTACCCAGGAAATAATTTAATGAGATTGACTTTATCTTTGCAGTATGTTGACAAGTTAGACCTAATAGACCTCACATGTCTTACGGACCAGAATTCAACTGTAAAGAATTGTGCAAAATTCACCCTTGTTTTGCCAAAAGAGGAAGTGCAACTGAAGGTGAGTAAGGAGAAGCAATTAGTTGGAAACAAGTTGTAGTTATAAATAGCACTGGCCGCTGCACAGCCCAGCAGCTGAGATAAAGAGGAATTCTAAGAGGAGCTGCCAAGTCTCATACTTTGTTAATATTTCTTGCTTTTTGCCAAAAACTGCAGTTTTCTAAATAGGGATTTGAAAGGGCATGTTCCCTTGTTTAGTATACAAGCACGTTGAAACCATATACTTCTGTCCTCCAACAAAGTCAGAGATCCCATCTGGTGTTTTTAAAAAGTTGTTCTTGAATTGACATTCACCAACTTCCCAGATGAATCTGAGACACGTCCAACATGATACATGTTGAGAACCACTAAATTAGAAAAACCCATATTTCACAAATCGAGACACATTTTGCAAGGCAGTTGGCCTATAGTATTCAAAAATACCACTGTAAGAAAAGCCAAAGGAACACTGGACACCTGTTGCCAGTTTTGGAAATTGGAGTGTGACAACTATATGTGATGTGTGATCCTGGATTGGATCCTGTATTAGAAAAGGAAAAAAATGATAAAGAACATTATTGTTACAGTTAGGAAAACTCCAAAAAGAACTGTGTGCTAGATATACACAGTGAAACGGTATTCAACTCATCCAACTCTAAACCTCACAGGAGCAGAGATCTCGTTTGTTAAAGTTGTCACCGTACACCCAGAACTTCCATAGAAAAAATGTTTTTCTTGAATGGACATTCAAAGTGAGCCAATTAAAATCAGCCAACAACTATAGTAATAGCATGGAGAGAATGCCTTGGCGTTGAATAAGATGTTGGAGTTGGTCTTGCAAGCTCTGGTCATAAGATTCACAGAACCATAGTCTCCACTTGAAGTGATTGCAGTGACCTGTGGTCAGCCGTGGTCCGGGAGCAGGTGATCCTCTTTCTGACCTGTTATCAGAGGGACCATAGTAACCCACCACTCCGTCACAGTGCCTATGTCATTCATATCATTTCCTCACCTAGGTATTTTATCAGCTCATATCATCACAAGAAGATGGGTGAGTAGAGCACAATAAGATTGTTTTTTAAGATTTTATTTATGTGTTTTGAGAGAGAGAGAAAGCACGAGTGGGGGAAGGGGAAGGAGGGGAGAGAGAGAGAATCTCAAGGAGATTCCACACTGACAGGGAGCCTGATGCCGGGCTCGATCCGTGACTCCCACGACCTGAGCCAAAATCAAGAACTGAACGCTTAATGGACTGAACCACCCAGGCACCCCAGTACAATAAGATTTTTTGAAAGAAAGATCACATTCACAGAACTTTTATTACAGACTATTGTTATAATTGTTTTATTACATTATTGTTGTTAATCTCTTACTGTGTCTAATTTATAAATAAAACTTTATCATAGGTATGTACCTATAGGAAAAAAACATGGCGTATATATAGTGTTCAGTACCATCTGTGGTGTCAGGCCTCCACTGGGGATCTTGCAATGTATTCACACAAATAAGGGAACTGCTGGACTAGAAATCATTTTACTTAGGAAATCTAGGGCCTGCCCCTAACTCTGAGCCTCAGAATCTTTGTCTTAAGCAAGCTTCGCACATGATTCTGATGCGGTGGTTAAGAACACAAGATTGGAGTCAGAAACCTACGGTTGATTTCTGGCTATTTTATTCATTAGCTGTGTAACCATAGGCAAGTCACTTAACCTCTTTATGCCTTGGTTTCTTCATCCAGAAGTAAGTCTTTACTCAGATGTAACCCTCTTACTGAGATCTGCCTGAACCGCTTTATTAAAATTGCAATCCTTTTCTCATCCCTGAACCCCTCAAGACATTCCCAATATCTTTTACACTGCTACACATTTTATTCTCCCATTTAATTCCTTCTGAAGCTTTACCATTTACTCACAATTATATTTATGACTTATTATTCCTTGCTAGACCCCAAATTTCATCAGAACAAGGATTTTTATTTTGTTCTCTGATGCAAACCAGTACCTAGAATAGTGTCTAGAACTTAAAGGCACTCAATAAATATGCTAAATGAGCAAATCCATAAAATAAAAATTTTAAAACTTTTGCAGAGTTGCCATGAAGATTAAATCAGTTAATACATGGAAGTACTTAGAGCTGCCATGTAGAAGTACTTAACAAATATTGGCTGCATTAGTAGGATTTAGAGTTAAGAACCGGAAATTTTTCCTTAAAAATTTCCTTAAAAAAACTACATTGGTCTTACCCAGTTGCCCCAAACTTAAAGCCAGTCAGTGTTAAATACCAATGGCGGGGGGGTGGGGTGGGAGGGACCATTAATTGACATATTGTGGAAATAAGTGTCCTAACATTTACATTTTTTGGAGTTAAGTAAGTTTGTATAATTTTACTTGTTGAGGAAGCAAACAGCTCAAAACTATATACTTGCGACAAAAGAAAATAGTATTGAAATTTCATAACAAATGCACATTAACAGTTTTAAGCAAGAAAGAAAGTGATTTGTTTCTTCCTTTCGACTAAAGTGCTTTAAAAAATTACAACTGACTTTTTAAAACAATGTGCTTCAATAGAAGAATATGGATTTTGTCAATCTTGCCGGGTTTTGAGACTTAGAAAACAACTGTACGAAATTCTAAAGTTATTTGAAGTTAATAAAAGTATGAATGTTTACATTCATGTCTTTTCTTCTTTTGTCTTTGTCTTTTGTCTTCCTCTTTAGACAGAGAACACAGAAAGTGGGAAAGAATGGAGAGGCTTCATTCTTACAGTAACAGAGGTACGTAGGAAAGACCTTACTTTTGATTGATTCATAAATTCAACAACTATTTACTGGACACTGACTATGAACCATACAGAGTGAAAGAGGTCAAAGATACAAGAATTGAAAAGAGGAGATATAAACCCTTACACTTATTCATGAAATTTATATTTTTATCAGGTGGATGGAAAGGAAGAAAGAAAATGAACAAGATAAATTAAAACTGTGATAATTGTTATGTCGAAAGTAAACAGGGCCTTGTGCTAGCTAGAGAGCTACAGGTGGTCGGGGAGATCTACTTTTTGGTCCTATCCCTTGACACAGTGGTCCTTTCTAATGCTAATATCTGTAGCTTACATCACATCTTCCAAAACTACTTTCTAATTCATTTAATACATGTTTATAAAATGCTAAGAGATGAATATTGTGAATGACATAAACAATATAACAGAGAGCCCATCAAAATGAAAATTCACCTTTTAAACATTTGCTTAGTGAGTCTTAAGACAAAGCAATGCTTACATGTTCAACTCCGCGGCATCTTATCAGAGACAAATAGTAAAACCAACAGTTTACAGTTAACTGTTATAGCACGATCTCCACCATTATTTTAAATGAAGATACTGTAGTGACTGTCTTATAAATGTGAGGGCCTTTGAGAGCCAGCCCCTGAAAGAGCACCATGTTCTGATGCTTTTAGAGGAGAAGAAAACTTTGTATGTTTATTACAGTCAGTTAAATCCAGACTCTGTCCAAAGCTAGCTCTTAAGTGAAGGCTTTGCAGTCCCACGAAATACACACCGCACTTGACCGAGATGACAGATGCTGGTTCTTCAGGGCAGCCAATAACAGGTAAAAGTTGGACTTCCCTATGCAGGGAAGTCACAGGAGGCTAGAAAAGGGGGCTGGTTAAAGATGTGAAAGGCATGCTGACTTGTGACGAGGAAGAAACTCTTGGGGAAACTGCATCAGTGTTGTGGAAAAGAGACATCGTGTGGCATGGCACTTCTTACACGGAGATCCAAGTCCTCCAAGGGCATGTGAGTAGTTTGAAGGAGAACACTAAAACCACTGGAAAGCCTTGGGGGTGCATCTTCCTGACACACTAATTATTTTGGGAAAAAAAACGTTCTTAGCTTTTTTCTTTGAGGTAAGGATAAAAAGCATTGTTTTCATATTAACGTGTACATAGATATATATAGAATACAAAATACAATTCACTTGAACTTCCAAGAGAAGAAAAATTATTCTTCTTTTTTTTTTTTTTTTTTTTTAAGAGAGAGAGAGAGAGAGCGCGCGCACAGGAGAACACAAGCAGGCAGAGGCAGAGAGAGTAGCAGGTTCCCCACTGAGCAAGGAGCCCGATGCAGGACTCGATCCCAGGACCCTGGGATCATGACCTGAGCTGAAGGCAGCGGCTTAACCCACTGAGCCACCCAGGCGTCCCGAAAAATTATTATTCTTTAATTTTGTGTTCTGTAAATGTTGTTTTTTATTGTGTTCCCTGAACACTCTGTGTATATTCACACCTTGCTATTGTTAGAGGAGAACTTTACCAGAAGCTTGAGAAACACAGATTGTAGTTGAAAGAGCAGAGAATTTGCTTTTGAATTAAATAAACTGGAGGTTGAGCCCACAATTTTCTAGCTGTATGACCCTGGACTAGTTATTTAATCTTTCTGAACCTTTTTTTTTCTACTTGGAAGTAAAGATAACAATATCTTTATTATAGTATTGCTGTGAGGATTTGGAATAACCCAATGCTTGGGACGTAATAGGCGATGGATAAGCAGTAGTTTTTCATTAGTTTCACCTCATTCTATTATTTTTTTTAAGATTTTATTTATTTATTTGACAGAGAGAGGGATCACAAGTAGGCAGAGAGGCAGGCAGAGAGAGAGGGGGAAGCAGGCTCCCCGCTGAGCAGAGAGCCCGATGTGGGGCTCGATCCCAGGACCCGGAGATCATGACCTGAGCTGAAGGCAGAGGTTTTAACCTACTGAGCCACCCAGGCTCCCCACCTCATTCTATTATTTTTTCCTGGATTGGTATATAAGGAAATAACTTTACTGATTATTAGTTTAGTTATTCAGAAGAATAACTTTTTGGTTGTATACCCTTATTACGTTTTTATTTCAAATGTCATATATATGCATATATATAAGATAGAAACAATAGGATTAATAAGAACATGTAAATAGGTCATAAGGAGATGTAAACCCAGGGTATAAATATCAGGAGGGCATAGATTGCTCAATCCAAAATATCTCTCCAGAAAAGGTCAACCAAATGAAGTAGGGTAGTATCATAATCTTAATGTGTGAATGTCAGTTTGAAATAGACACACAAAAACACCAGTATGGACCTTTGACTACCAATTCTCAGTCATCTGATGAAGAGTTCCATTTCTACTCTGTGTTGTCATATGGCGGGGGGAGCTAATCCCAGGTTAGCTGTGGGAGAACACGGCACCTTGCAGGTGCTCTGGGGTTTCCCTGGCAGCAAGAACTAGTGAACTCAGCATGAACAACGAGAGTCAGTCGTTACTTGAATTAGCTTGTAGTGCAAGGTGGGTATACTGCGCTGTGTGCCAGGCTAAAAGGAACACTTCTAGGAAGATTGGGCACCGTGCGCAGGTTAGAGTTCTTTGGTTGGTTTGGAGGCAGTTAAGACCCCAAGATCCTCTATTCACGATTCTGTCCCTCCATCTGTATCAGATAACTGAAGCCCCTGAGAACCCCAACGGTCTCCTTGTCGCTAACACCAGTCAGTCATTCTGCTGTCCTTGTTTGCCGACTGCTTTCTTTGGTTTCAGCTGTCAGTTCCCCTACACGTGTCCCTCCTCCCTGGGCAAGTAATTCGACTGCACGAAGTCCTAGAGAGAGAGAAAAAAAGGAGGATTGAGACAGAGCAGACCCCGAGCTCAGCTGTGGAAAAGAAGGAACCGACCGAAGATTATGCAGATGTACTGAGTCCAATGCCAGCGTAAGTGCACCACAAACTCTGGGGTTTGTCACTGGATTGTTAATATTAATTTCTAATTATCAAAGAGAGTGAGCCCTTGACCTCATTCAAGCGGGGACAGTAAGCTGTCTTGTGGATGAACATTACATCTCTGAGGAGACGCCACAGTTCCTCTTCCGTGTCATGATCAACAAGAAGCAAAATATAGGTTTGGGCCAGCCTCTTACCACACAGGAAATCCCTTTCCACCCACACCTTTACACTAAATATTTTTTCCCGAAGCTCAAACCTAAATAAAAACTGCTATGTAGAAAGAAGGAAAAGATTTTTTTTTTCCACCATGCAACTCCATGATGGACTGATTTTCTGTCGGAAAATTATACCAAAGAATTTGAAGTCTCTGAATGTTCTGTTCACTTGTCCTGTCACTGAGTGGTCACGGAACTTGTACTTCAGGAAGGCCAAGTATAAAATGTGTAAGGTGGTGTTGGGGAAAAGAAGAGGCACAGACAGGCCCAAGTCAGCAACACTTTTATTTTCTACTCTTAACTTGCTGTAAATTGTGACTAAGATGGTGAGGTCTTTCCTCCTGGAACGGTGGTCTTCTTGTCCAGGAATCTTGTCCTGGTACCACCCGTGACATCAGCTTCTCACATATAGTCTAGCTGTACCATACTTGCCGAAACCTGCCTACCGTCACGTTCCACTGAAACCAGTGACATCTGATGGACTGATGGGTTAGAAGTCACAAAGACTGCTTCTTTTTCTCTTTTCCTCCATACAAGTAATATGCATTTATTACAGCCAGATAAAAAGAACGTTACAATCATCCTTTGTCTTACCAGTCAGACATATTCACTGTTAACATTTCAGGGTATGGCATATCCTGCCAGATATTTCTCTGTTGATAAAACAGACCTTTCATTGACCACAATATTTACTATAAAAATGGGAAGGGCTTTCTTAAAAATGTTACACACTAAAAATAACACCAATGCCATTAGAATGTCATATTATACCCAAGGGAGTGAATTCAGACATACCCTTAAGTACCAGTTATTTAAAACAGACCATACAAGAGAAACATATAAAGAAATGCTTTGTGTCCCTGAAGAGAAACCACCAATAAATGTTATTTTTGCAAGAGCTTATTATAAACTGAGATTAAGAACTGGGAATACAGTATTAATTCTTATCTTAGATTTTTAGATGGTACTGGTGATTACATACTGACCAAGAGATAACTTTTCAGGTCTTCTTTGGTTAAAGAAAGAGGTTTGGAGGGATGAGGGAGTAAAGGCCTTAAGCATAAAGTGTATTTAATAGTGGCCAGGATTGTAATAACAGTAATTATACAATTGTAATTACAATAATAAAGCCAGGAATTAAGAAAAGTTAATAACTGCAGCTCTTAGAATTAGTTTTGTAGCATTTTTCAAAGTAATGATCTTCATCAGTTAAAAAAAAAAATCCTTTTTTTTTTTTTTTTGTCTCACCTCTGTAGATGTTTTTATACTGTGTCCCGAAAAGAAGCAACTGAGATGCTTGAGAAGAACCCTTCTTTGGGAAATATGATCCTGAGACCTGGTAGTGACAGCAAAAGCTACTCCATCACTATCCGGCAGGAGATAGAGTATGTTTAATTAAAAAAAGTATGGAATTGTTAAAAGCATGGTATCACTTTAGAAAGCAAAGTTGCACAAGTTGCACAAGATCACCACCTGCTATGTGTTCTGTTGGGGCTAAAAATATAAACATAAGAATAGGGAGAGAATGTTATAGAAGCAGAGCCAAGGCTCATATCTGCAGTAGGAAGAATGGGCAAATTACTTTGATCCTGGGTATAATTCTCTCACTCATTCATTCATTTCACACATCTTTATTGAACGACTATTATGAGAACAAGTAATATTCTAGATACTGAGGATGGACTGGTGAACAAAAGAACAATGTAAGGAGTCTACATTCTTATAAGGCAACATGGACTGTAAATAAATGCCTAACTAAAAAATCATATGTATAGTAATAAGGACTACAGAAGAAAATTAAATAGGATGAGGGAGATGGGAACACTGAGAGATGATTTATAGAGAAACATTTTCCGATTGCTATTGTTTTAATACAGAGTGGTCAGGGAAGGCCTACTTTATTGGCTAACATTTAAGCAGGGTCCTGATGGAAGTGAGGGAACAAACCAAGCCAGTATCTAGGACAAGAGCACTTGAGGCAACAAATGCATATGCCTAGAGACAGGAGAAGGCTCAGTTTGTTCAAAAACAAAAAGAGGTCCCTGTGATTGCAATGCAGTGAGCAGGCAACCAGTGCTAACGAGATTCCAGAGTGAGGGGGGAGCGAGTGATCACTCTGAGCCCTGCGTGTCGCTGAGGGACAGTTACATACTCTGAACGACACGAGAGGCCACTGGACTGTGATGCATGAAGAAGTGACATAATTGACATCCATATAAAGGACAACTTGGAGCTTCTTGTCAAGGTTAAGAATTTCTTTCTGGTAAAATGGTTTACCTTTGATGAAGTCAGTAATACTTACTTGCAGTAGTTGATTTTTCCATGTAGCTAAGGTGGTTGGATCTGCTAAGGTCCACTCCAGCTCTGAGTCTTTGAAATCTTGCATGTCAATAAATAAGTACTCCACGTTATTAACACTTTGACAAATGATAATGAAATTAAAACATTAGGACATTTTTTGTCCTAAGTGAAAATGTTCAATAAGTAATTATCTTTCATATAAAAGCATAACCAGAACTTTGACTCTTTAATTTGCTATTCTTTCTGGGGATAATATTCCATGAATTATTTTAGCTGTAACGTATCTGTTGGTGCATCTGTTTACCAGTCAGTCCACTATAAATATCAGTAATTCTAAATATATTAAATATGAAGACACTGACAATGGATAAAGGCAGTAAAAAGAAAGTAATTACAATGCACCATGGTCCAACAAGCTTCATCACTTGCCAGTTACTCCATATAAACAAAAACGCATCTTTAGACACCAGACGTGTGCCCTGAATGGACGGCAAGAATGTTAAGAGGCATATCAGGTCCCGGTTCTGTGTGTTAAGTGAGAGAGCTCTGTGTGTGAGTATGTGTGTTTGATTTTCCATAATGAATACCTATGTCAACTTAACCTTCTTATTGTTTTATTATTTTTTATTATAAAGACTGACATTTGGAGTTAATATATTTTCAACTAATATGGTAGAATATCACAGATTACTCAATTTTAATTTATTTGCTTTATAATTCAATTGGCTCTTTTGAAACAAATCCAAAAGAAATAAAAATTGTGACTGCCCTCACATATAAGTGAGCTTAGAAGAAATGCTGGGAGAACAGTGAATTTTTCTGTTGGGTACATCCTGGTCAAGGAGCTTATTCTTTTTCAGGGTTTTAGGAAATTGAATTGAGTATGCCTTTAAAACTTAAGAGCATATAAAACGGAATTAAAATCCATTTCTCAGATTTTGTTTTAAAAAGAAATTTAACTGCTGGAAAGCTAAATCACACAAGGGAGTGATAAGCTTTTTTCCCCTCATTTTTTTCTTTTTCTTGGTTGGATTGAGCGTTTGATCTATTAGCATGTGAACCCTGCATTATTATTCTGTATGAAATGAACAAAGTCCCTGAGACCTAATGACTCTTTAAAGACCACATATTTTCTGCACAATAGCAACCTGATCTTTTTAAGATGGTCTAAATTAGCCCAGCTTTTGCACCTTATTTTCTGTAAACGTGAGCTATCAGAAATAACAGCGCTTTCTGATGTCGATGTGGTTTTTGACCGAGTGCAATGAGTTTCTATACTTAGGATATGAACTGACCGTCACAGTTTTTACTTATATCTCTATGGTATTTAAGCTATATTTAAACTCCTAAGAAAGAGCCTGGCAAAGAAATTCATATCAAACTTCTATAATTGTAATTTTAGTAAAATCACTTCCATTTTGAGTTCATATAAAAATTCATGCTTTTGTACAACTGATGGTCCTAAAAACGTAACATTTCATAAAACGAATCTTTCTCCCCACAAAACTTCATATTTTTTTAAAAGATTTTATTTATTTATTTGACAGAGACATGGAGAGAGGGAACACAAGCAGGGGGAGAGGGAGAGGGAGAGGGAGAAGCAGGCTTCCTGCTGAGCAGGGAGCCCGATGTGGGGCTCGACCCCAGGACTCTGGGATCATGACCTGAGGTGAAGGCAGATGCCCAACCAACTGAGCCACCCAGGTTCCCTCAAAATAGAACTTTTAGAAGCCTAGATTTCATATCTTCTGTTTAACAGGGTAGCCGTTACAGAGAATAGTAGAGTGTTACCTTGTTAGACTGTAGAGCTTAATGTAAAGACTTTGACAAAAAATCTAGACGATTAGGAAGCACCTGAACACAGGTGGGTAACAACCCACAGGACCAACTCATTCTCTTACAGGTTGTAGGAGAAATGTGCAGCCATGCAAATTTAGGTGTGTCTGGCAAAATACTAGCTGAAAAGGATGGACTAGTTTACAAAGCAGTGCTTGAAAGTAAAATTATCTCCATCAGTTAACAAAGCAGCTGTAGGAGGGAAGATTGTAGTTCTTGGGAAGAAGCAAAAGTCATTCAGTGCCCAATTATCAGGTGACCCTCTCCTGATGTAAAATACCTCACTTTACCCAACCCAGTGGTGTGTGAATTCATAAGACAGAGCTATTCTTACAACAAACTTAGTGGTTTGGCTTTGTTTTCTTAAAATTGTTATGGCTACATGGCAAGCTAGTAGTATATATATACTTTGGAAAGCCATTAGCCAAGGAAACAGTAGAAAATATTGACCCCAAATTAATGCCTTTGCAGAAATTTGGGTAAGAAGCTAAATACACGTATTTATATCACATTTAAGACCACACACTTGTTGAAAGACAGGTTACTTCTTTTTTGAGGTCATAATCAGGAAACCTCAGTATAGAAAATTTTTTCATTTTTTCCTCTATCTTTATTTCTCGGGAAAAACAAAACAAAATATGAAAGAAAAGCAAAGGTCTTAAATGAGATTCAAAGCCTAAGCGACTTCAACGGAATTTTTTTTTCTACCTTACTTTCTGCTCCAGACCTCAGTCCTTTTAGTCAAAAGTTCCAAGAGAGTCTGTTAATCTTTGCTGCTTTTCCTCCCACAGCTTTGTCATGAATAATGATGATGATGATATAATAGTCATTACTAACAATGATCATTGGCATCACTTCCAGGGTACCATTTGAGGGTGCTGAGCTAGGTGCTTGACAAGCATTTCCTTCAGGCACAGTAAAAACTGACACCATTTTTTCCATGTTTTATAAATGAAGCAGCTAAGCCTTAAAGAAGCTACTAAGTTAAAATGATAAATTTAAAACGTAGTAAAAAGAGTTATAATTTGCGACATGTCTACATGTGCAAGATACTGTGCTAAGGACTTTTCAGACATTAATTCACAACAGTCCTGTGAGGAACGGGATTACCATCTCCATTTTATAGATGAAGAAATGAAGGCTGAGAACTTACACATAGAACCAGAATTTGAACCTCAATCTTTCTGGTGATAAAGATCATGCCCTTCAAGCTTTCTGTCAGTCTTCCAAGGAATAAGAATCACTTGTTTCATAAAAATATAGGAGATCTAATTGGAAAGGATGAGAGATTTCAAAAGTAACTATGTGATTATCAAAGTCTTTTTCAGGTAGGGATAAAAATAAAGCCAGAGCCAGTCACTCCAGAAGAAGGTACTTGTAAGACCTTCGTCCAAAAATGTTTCCTTTACCAGTCTGCTAGTGATTCCTGAAGGATTAGCAATCAAGAATACTTTTTATTTTTAATTATTTTTTAGGAGTTTTAGTTTTTAGTTTTTAGTATTTTCTAGGAGTTTAGGAGTTTTAGTTAGGTTTTATCCCATGTCTTAAAAGTAAAGTTCTAGAATAAAACACTAGAATAAAATTATTAGCTGTTTTCCAATGACACTCAATTGAGAGAATATTGGGATAGAATGGTAGATGAGGAAAAAGTCCCTTGAAAAGAATTGTAGTTCAGTCCTAGAGGATGTGACCGATAAGTGGAGAGACGGGTGATAAAGAAGGTGGGGGGCCCTGCCAACAAACTCAACCTGACAGACAGCTTTGGACTGCTTCTGTAAATCGGACAGATGTTGAATTAGTTTCTCTTTCAAGCAAATGGCAGTGTAATAAATGCTTTACATTTTTCAACATTAGAAAAACTCTTGGTCCTGACACTGTTGTCACATGAATCAAAAGAATTCAAGGCAAACATTTTTACTTCTGCTCTCAGTATAAATTAATTGTAGCCAATAGCACTATAAGATGGGCTTGTAGTATTTTCAAAATTCAGTTTCATAAATATTGTGTGCCTAATGCTGGAAGACAAAGGTGAATAGATTGTGCTTCTTGTTCTTAATCAATTCTAGTTAATAAAATATCATGTGTTTAGGGTGGTAATAATTTAAAGCTATGTGACCATAGAAGAGGAAACATTACACTTCATCTACTGTGCTCACCTTCTCCCGGAGCATTTTCCAGATCTCTAAGTCAGCCTGAAGTGAGCAGATATCTAAGGTGGTCTGTGAGTTAGCAGGAAGAACGGCCATTCAGGGATTTCTCATTGGAATAGTGATGACGTAGAATAGAAAGTAATTTGCTTTCAGTAATTCTTTCTACTTTCCTTTTAATCTAGAGAATAAAAATCTAATTTGTACGTACCTACTTAGGATATTATAATGTTGCCTGCTTTGTAAATTACTGGCTTTAAAAATGATAATTTCTGCCTGAAAGATTTTCAGCTCTTGATTCCTTTTTTCCTGTTATCCATCACCCACTCGATGACTCAGAATCCCTAATGTATAACCCCTCCAAAAACAGACATAGAGAACTGGGAAAATAACAAAATGAAAACCACCATTTTAAAGTTTTTTATTTTTATCATTATTATTTTTTTTTGCCTAACTACAGAAATGGGAATGTAGGTTTTATTATAGAGGAGATATTTTATATTCACTTTAGTTTGATTTGATCCAATAGTATATTCAAATGGAGAATAAACCTTTTTTTTTTTTTTAATTTTAGCATGCCAAGAATCAAGCACTATAAAGTGACGAGTGTAGGAAAAAACTACACTATTGAACTGGAAAAACCCGTAAGTAGCTATTTCCTTGTTTTTGAGGAATTTTCTCCACTTTTTCCCAAATCTACCTTATAGAATTCAAAGAAAGGTGGAAAAGCAGACCCCTTGCCCAGGAACATAGTGTGGTGAGAAGCAGCCATGTGAAGGAGCCCCGAAAGTGGCAGAGATCCAGGGGGAGACATGAGATAGAACAGGTGGATGCGGAGGCTCAGGAGAGACTCTGCTAACAATTCTTTCTACTTTTGTTTCCCTGTAATCTTTATCAATATGATTATTTCAGGGAGGGAAGATTTTTTCTTAAACGCCTGTTTTCCATCCTCCAATGATACGTATTTCAATGTGATTATTTCTAATGGGGGACAAAAAATCTGTGAATGCCTAGTCTTCTAATACCCATCATGCAGAAGTTCAGAAATCCCACTCATACTAGCAACATAATCATGAAGAAACAGTCCCTTCCTGGTCTGCAACCCCTCTCAACGGTACCGTGGGGCTCATGATATAATCACTAGGTCACGGTATTAGGCAGACAGCTAAGTACCTCACATGTATCACTTAATTTAATCTTCACCGTGACCCTGAGGGATGCCTATGATACAGGTGGGGAAAACTGGTACTTACACTCATCTCAACCAATGAAAATGTAGTGATGTGGGCTATGGTCCAGGTGCCAGAAAAAGGGAATTTAGTTCTGTGATCTTAGGCTGCAGCAGTGGGAAGACTGGACTGGGGAAGTGATATCACATAAATGGAACTGACGAGTCTTGAAGATATTTATTTTAACATCTTTAAAATTGAGCTTTTAGTGCCTCTGCCTCTTCAAGCCCATTGTGTTGATTAGATGGACAAAGGGGCAGTCTGGCTGAATTTTTATGGTTTTTTTTTTTTCTTTTTTTAACAAAGACTTTATTTGTCAGAGGGAGAGAGGGAGCGCACCAGCAGAGGGAGTGGTGGGCAGAGGGAGTAGCAGGCTCAACTGAGGAGGGAGCCTGATACGGAACTCAGTCCCACGACCCAGGATCATGCATGACCTGAGCTGAAGGCAAATGCTCAACCGACCCAGGCGTCCCTGAATTTTTTATGTTTAGACCCTACTTCTTAGAATGCACTAGTGACTTTTGACAAGAGGAGAGAAGCTGATGACTCATACAGCTCACCTCCCTCTTTGCCATAAATGCCTCCCTGAGCTCCTCGGCTCTCAGGTCTGTGCCTGCTGGGGCTTTTTCAAAAATTCTAATGAGGGAAACAAACAACTAGATTGCTGAAGGATAACATAAATAACCAACTGACCGGAAGCAACAGTCAGGGAAGAAGAAGGTGCCTCTGTGACTGGTGAACTGGGCTCATTTCTCTGTAATTAGCCTGAACAGGCCCCAATATGAGGAAAGTTAACTGCCTGGACTGTTCTTTCACCTTTCACACTCCCCTCCCTTAGCCCTCAACCAGGTTGACATTTTATGAATTCCAGGGGAATTCAGGTTTAGCCTGATTTTACTTGTATAAAAATATTGGTTTGGGGGTGGCAAGCCATTTCAGCTACTCCTGGCCAAGTAAACTATCCTGTTACAGTGAGATATTAAAATGGTAAATTCTCTGGCTTTAAGGGTTCTTTAGTTTCAAACAGAAGAAACCAAATAACTAGCTCAAGTAAAGACAGATTTAAGAACATAGGAAGCCCATGAAATGACTGGACAGCTGGAAGACCTCCAGGGACTAGGAAGCAGTTACTTGTACAGCTGACCCTTGAACAACATAAATGCGTGGGTCCAATTACATGTGGGTTTTTTTTTTTCTTTTGATAAATACAGAATAGTACTGCTAAATATACTTCTCTTGTGATTTTTCTTTTTTTTTTTTTTTGTAGAGATTTTATTTATTTGACAGAGATCACAAGTAGGCAGAGAGACAGGCAGAGAGAGAGGAGGAAGCAGGCTCCCTGCTGAGCAGAGAGCCTGATGGGGGGCTCGATCCCAAGACCCTGAGATCATGACCTGAGCCGAAGGCAGAGGCTTAACCCTCTGAGCCACCCAGGCGCCCCTCTTGTGATTTTTCTTAATATTTCCTTTTCTCTGGCTTACTTTATTGTAAGGATACAGTATATAATAATGCATAACATACTAAATATGTGTCAATTAACTACGTTATTGGGAAGGCTTCTGGTCAATGGTAGGTTGTTAGTATTTAATTTTGGGAGGAGTCAAAAGTTATTATGCGGATTTTTGAGTGCAGAGTGGGTGGCATCCCTAACTCCTGTTGTTCTAGTGAGAACCTTCTGATTAGGAACCTGCTCTTCTTCCAGGTTCCTCTCCTCAAGTTCAGACTTTAGGAAGGGAGTATTTTCTGGCCTGAGTCACATTCTCATGCAAAAACTAGGAAAGTGCAGAGAACCAAATTATTGTCCACCAAAATATATCCCACGGTGGGGGGGGGGATTTCTCAACAGGGAATTAGATATTATAAAAGAGAAAAAAATGCATGGGTGGGAAACACTGGCCATTCAGTACCTTGTTGAAGTGAAGTATTGACATGTTTTACTAAAGATCAGGAAATTCACAGTAATCTTCATTAAATTTCATATGACCTGGGGCACCTAGGTGGCTCGGTCATTAAGAGTCTGCCTTCCGTTCATGTCATGGTCCCAGGGGCCTGGGATTGAGCCCCGCATCGGGCTCCCTGCTCAGCAGGAAGCCTGCTTCTCCCTTTCCTACTCCCTCTGCTTGTGTTTCCTGTCTCGCTGTGTCTCTGTCAAATAAATAAAATCAATCTTAAATTTTTTTTTCACATGAGCTTTTTTTAACTCTCTTCACATGGATGACACTGAGCCTTCTCTCACTCTCTTCGTACAGGTAACACTCCCAAACCTTTTCAGTGTCATTGATTATTTCATGAAAGAGACTCGAGGAAATTTACGACCATTTATATATTCAGCTGATGAAAACTTTGGTATGTTCTTCACTTCATTGCTGTATTAAGGAAAGCAAAACAAAACAACCCTCCCCCACCAACCCCCATATATGATTTGTAATACCAACGAGGTAGGAATGTAGTTCAGCTTTTAAATTTATCTATTTGTAAGTCATTTTATCATTAACCCTATGAAACTAAGAGAGGACCAATATATTCTGGTGGCCCATTCTAGAGAAAGAAAAGTCATAGGCATGTATTTTGTGTCTAATTTCATCATCATTCTAATTGGTTTTCTTTTTAAAGATTTTTTATTTATAATATGGAGAATGAGAAAGAGAGAGGACAGGGGGAGTGGCAGGCAGAGAGAGAGAGGGGGAAGAATGCTTTCCTCTGAGCAGGGGCTCTGATGCGGGGCTCAATCCCAGGACCCTGGGATCATGACCTGAGCCGAAGGCAGACACTTAGCTGATTGAGCCACCCACGTGCCCTTCTACTTGTCTTTATCAAATAAGTTCAGAGATAAGACAAAAAACCATACTCATATATAGAGTCTTGGAAACCAAACGGGATTTAAAAGTATGATCTGTTAACAACATCAAATGCCCTAGTCAGATTAAAATGGATGAAGATGGAATTGGCCCTCCGGGGGTAGATGATTTGAGGGAGAGGCTAATTCCACCATAAAGGCAGAGGCCTGAGTGTCAGATAACAAAATAAGTCTCTGTTCCTACAGGTTATGAGGGAAAACAACTTTGTTTGGCTACCTGCATCATAGCATATCTGAAAAGTCTGATTAAATTTAAAAAGTCACAACTTTAAAAGTCCAAAGTTGAAAACATATGAATCTTGTGATGCCAAATAAATAAAATGAGTCTGAAGGAACTTTAGGGAAATTGTCCAGTACAGTGTCTCACTGTATATAGGAATCACCTGCACACTCAGTGCAGAAGACATCTCTAAGATGTGACTAGTCAGGGACACCTGGGTGGCTCAGTGGGTTAAGCCTCTGGCTTCTGTTCAGGTCATGAACTCAGTGTCCTGGGATTGAGCCCCACATCAGGCTCTCTGCTCAGCGGGGAGCCTTCTTCCCCCTGCCCCCACCCACCTGCTGTTCTGCCTACTTGTGATCTCTCTCTCTCTCTGTCAAATAAATAAAACCTTAAAAAAAAGAAAAAAAAAAAAGATGTGACCAGTCAGCTTGTTTGAAAATTCCTAATGATGGTCACCTCACTGCTTTTTGAGGCAGCACACTTCACTTTTGATTAGTGCTCATCTTAGAGAATTCTTTAATAGTAAGTCTGAAATATTTCTTCCTTTAACTTCTATGTATTAATCCAATTTCTGGTTTTGGAACAACTCAGGGTTTTAAAAAGCCCATCAAATATAGAAAAGCAGCCAAAATGCACCCCCCTCGCTTAGTCTTTCCCTATCCTCGATAAGTTACTAGTTCCTTCAGCCCTCTTATCACATCTTTAACTTTTCTATATACTAATTTCCGAACATCTCTCTTAAAATATAATTACAGAGGATGAACACATTACTATAGACATGGCCAGAATAATATATTACACAGGCTTAATTCAGGAAAACACCATTTACAGAAATCTATTAACTATTACTTAATATGATTAATATAAGTAGTAACTATTGATACAATTTTTTTTTTCAGAGACTGAAGGATTTCCTGTAACACCTCTAAAATAAAAAAAAAAAAAGTTTAAGGTGATGGTGAATCTGATATAATTTGCTTCATGTCAGTTATCTACTGTTATGTAACAAACCACCCCAAAACATGGTAGTTAAATCGACAACCATTTTATTTGCTCACGATTCTGTGCATTGGCAATTTGGATTGGATTCAGCTGGGCAGTTCCTTTGCTAGTCTCACTTGCTGTCACTTACACAACTGTAACCAGCTGATGGCCTGACCGGGGCTGCGTGTTTCAAGTTGGCCTCATTCACACATCTGGTGCCGGTGGCCAGCTGGAGCTGGCTGAACCACTCTCCTCACGTATTCTCTAATACTTGAGGAGTTAGCTCAGGCTCTCTCATGTGAGATCTGACTTGTTAAGAGGTGAAGCAAACCTCAAGTCCTTGGGCTAGAAATGCTTAGCGTTAAGGATCAAGTATGGCCCTGTTGGAGATTTCAGTATATGTGAAACTGTGAATTGAATAAATGGATCCAAGTGTGATATATCTTATGTACAAAGGCTAAACTTCGTTCTTTCTACAAAATTTAACTTAACATGCAATAAAATTCACTTTTTGGTATACAGTCCAATGAGTTGTGACAACCACCATCAGAATCAAGATACAGAAACCTCAAAAAAATGCCCCGATGTTCTTTCTTTGTAGTCAACCCTTCTTCTCACCCACAATCCCTAGCAACTACAGATGTTTTCCACTCCTATAGTTTTGCATTTTCCAAAATGTCATAAATGGAATCACAGTACAGAAAACTTTTGAGGCTGATTACTTTTATTCATCATAATGTCTAGAGTCACGTAAGTGTTATATTATTAGCTTGTTCTTTTTTATTGTTGAATAGTATTTCACTGTATGGAAGAACTAGTTTGTTTATCCATCCAACAATTAAAATGTATTAGGGTTGTTTCCAGTTTTTGGCAATTACTTACTGAACTATATTAATAGTCAAGTGCAGATTTTTGTGTAAACATAAGTCTTCATTCCACTTGGGTAAAATATCTGGGAATGAGATTATTGGGTTATACGAAAAGAGTCCATCTAACTTTGTAAGAAACTGTGGAACTCTCTTCACAAGCAGGTCTACCTTTTTGCACATCTGCCATTGGTGCTGGAGAGTTGTAGTTGCAAACCTCATCAGCACTTGGTATTGTCATTAACTTTTAAAAAAAATTTTAAGTAAACTCTACATCACACATGGGGCTTGAACTCATGACCCTGAGATCAAGAGTTGCATGCTCGGGGCGCCTGGGTGGCTCAGTGGGTTAAAGCCTCTGCCTTCGGCTCGGGTCATCTCAGGGTCCTGGGATCGAGCCCCGCGTCGGGCTCTCTGCTCTATGAGGAGCCTGCTTCCTCCTCTCTCTCTGCCTGCCTCTCTGCCTACTTGTGATCTCTGTCAAATAAATAAAAATAAAATCTTAAAAAAAAAAAAAAAAAAAAAAAGAGTTGCATGCTCTACCAACTGAGCCAGCCACACACCCTGGTGGTATTATCATTCATAAAAAAAAAAAAAAAAAGTTATTCTAATAAATGTGTAGTGGCATTCTGTGCTTTTAATATGCATTTCCCTGGTGATTATGTTCAGCATCTTTTCATGTGCTATTTGACATTCATTTATCTCCTTTGGTAAAATATGTATTTAAACCCTCTGCCCACATTTTTGTTGGGTTGTTTTCTTGTGGCTGAATTTTGATTATTCAGTACATATTCAGAGTATGCCATTTGTCAGGTATAATTTGCAAATACTGTTTGTTTTTTCATTCTTTTAATAGTATCTTTTGCAAAGCATAAGTTTTAAATTTTTTTTTAAAGATAAGTTTTAAATTTTAATGAAGTAAAAATTATCAATTTTTGCTTCTGTATATAGGTTGTACTTTTAGTGTTGTATCTGAGAACACTTTGCCTAATCTTTTTTTTTTTTTTTAAAGATTTTATTTATTTACTTGACAGAGATCACATGTAGGCAGAGAGGCAGGCAGAGAGAGGGGGGAAGCAGGCTCCCCGCTGAGCAGAGCGCCTGATGCAGGGCTTGATCCCAGGACCCTGGATCATGACCTGAGCCGAAGGCAGAGGCTTTAACCCACTGAGCCATTCAGGCGCCCCTCTTTCCCTAATCTAAGATCACAAACATTTTTCTTCCTATGATTTTTTCTATAAGCGTCAGTTTTGTATTTTACATTATTAGGTCTATGACCCACTTCAAATTAATTTTAAGGGCAGAATTCATTTTATTTGCATTTAGGTATATAATTGTTCGAGCACCATTAGTTAAAAAAAGATTATCTTTTCTTCATTTAAATAGCTTTTGTACCTTTGTGAAAAAAATTAATTTACTGTATTTTTGTGGATCAATTTCCATTGATATATGTTCTTATCCTTTTGCCAATACCACACTATCTTGATTACTGTAGCTTTATAGTAGTTCTTGAAATCAGAAGATATAAATCCAACTTTGTTCTTTTCAAAATTGTTTGGACCAATATAGTTTCTCTGCCTTTTAGCAGAAGTTTTAGAACTAGCATGGTACTTATAGAATATCCTCCAGAGTTTTGATTTGGATTTTGCTGAAGCTTTAAGATGAGTTCAGGGAGAACTGGCATCTTGACAGCATTATCTTCCAATTCAGGAATAATATATCCTTCCAATTAGTTTTTTTTTTTTAATTTCTTTTACAGTTCTTTATAGTTTCCAGCGTATAGATTCTGAACATATTTTGTTAGATTAATAACTATTTAAATTTTGGTGCTATTGTAAATGGTAGTTTTTAACATTTTGGATTCCAATTTTTCGTAATATATAGAAATACACTTTTTATTTGTTGATCTTATAATTCCAAGATTCTATTTGCTACACTTTCATTCATTTCTAAAAGCTTTTTTTTTTTTTTTTTATTTCCTTTTTCATTTTTTTTTTTTTTTCTAAGATTTTACTTATTTGTCAGAGAGATAGAGAGCACAAGCAGGGGGGAGAGGCAGCCAGAGGGAGAAGCAGTCCCCTGCTAAGCAAGGAACTCCAAGTGGAACTTGATCCCAGGACTCTGGGATCATGACCTAAGCCGAAGGCAGACGCTTAACTGACTGAGCCACGCAGTGATTCTTTGCTTCCAGTTTTAAAGGACAAAATATTTCATCTTTCACTAATAAGTATAATATTGGGTGTAGGTTTAAAAAGATGATTTATCAGATTGAGAAAGTTTCCTTTTGTCTGGTTTTGGTATTTATGAAATGCTGTCATTAAAAAAAGAGCTGGGAGGCATTCCTTCTTCTGTGGTGTGGAAAATATTAGTAGAACTGGTTTTTCTTTTTACTTCAGTACTTGGTAGAATTCACCCAATGAGCCATATGGACCTGAAGATTTCTTTGGTGAAGGTTTTTAACTATGATTTCAATTTCTTTAATAGATGTTGGAGAATTCAGATTATCTCTTTTTTCTTGAATGAATTTTTTTTTTTTTTTTTTTTTTTTTTTTTTTTAGAGGAGGAAGCAGGCTTCCTTCTGAGCAGAGAGCCCGATGTGGGACTCGATCCCAGGACCCTGAGATCATGACCTGAGCCGAAGGCAGCGGCTTAACCCACTGAGCCACCCAGGTGCCCCGTTGAATGAATTTTTTTTTTAAAGATTGTATTTATTTATTTGACAGAGAGAGATCACAAGTAGACAGAGAGGCAGGCAG